GCTTTCTTCAGCTGTCATCATACTAAGGAATAGTAAATGCCAAGGTCCAGATTGAAAACCAATGCAGATTTTCGTAGCTTCCCTCTCCAAAATTCTCAGAAAGATGTCTTGTTGTCAAACTGGTAACCATGATCTAATTTCAGAACAGGCTAAATCTCACCCACCTCTGCAGCCAAATGCAATAAATATGCTAATGCATTAATGCATTTAAACTATTATCAATCATTAATTCTACTGCATGAAAAGTACACAATCAGTTTTCATTTTAACACACAGCTGCAGTTACATAATATACTGAGGAGGGAATAAAGAATTAGCTATATCCTTTCTTTCTGTAAAGATCTGCTTTCTTGGAATACTATCACGTGGAAAACAAATCCTACCATTAACAAGCTCTACGAACAGTTTCCTATAATAAATGGCAGAAACTGACTTGGAGAGTTAAAATAACCTCACAGAAATTTGTGGGAATCATTAAAATGACTCACTGATACGCTCCAATATTAAATTTAAATACGTATATGCTTCATTATTCATTTATATAGCTAATGCATGTATTGATAATCTTTTTTGTTGATCCATAAAGGCATCTTTGCACAGAAAGTGTTAATTGAAACTCATATAATAATACAAGAAAGGAGTAATTTCTCTGCTTTCAATTTTTTCTTGAGCATCGGAATATTTTTACCTATTTCATAGCAATATTTCTTCTGGGACGTTTACCTGTATGTTTTATCAGTGAGGTATTATAAATTTTAATGTTTTCAGACAAACTCAGAAGTTTTCAAAACTAGCAGCAGGTATAATTAAAATCTATATAACACTCCTATATATAAACATCCACAAAATGTGACATTTACAAGGGGGTTGCTTTTTGTAGTATAAAACAGAGATCTGAAGTCTGCCCGAATCCAAAGCATACTCCCCCTCCCCTTATTTTTACATTCACAATTAATACCTTTTCTATGCAATTGCAGAAAGTCTTTATGGAAACTTAGAAACGTTACAGAAATGGGAAGCTACTTTTATCAAGTAACTATTAAAAACATTCCCAGACACAAGTCACTAGAAGAAAAATTGGAAAACTTCCCCCAGTGAGAACTTGATTTTTAATATCATAAGTATCCAACCCTACCCAAACCTTCAGATCTCCTTACGCATATTTTAAAAGACAGTGGCAGGCAAGGGGAAGGTTATTTTGAAATAAATAAATTGCTGCTTCCATGCACTCTAGATAGTCACATTTTAATTTTCCGAATAGTAATTTCTTAATTGTTACCTTTGGCTTCTTTCCAAATAGCCACAGCTTTCCTTTAGCCTTGCCCACTGTAGTTTTTGAATCAATTCTCATTCCTTCCTGCTTTGGTGTACTGATGGTTCCATCAGAGATAGTTCTGTAAATATTCTGACTGTAATCTTCAAATGGAAAATCTCCAGGAGGTTCAAAACCGGATTTGAAGCAGTCTATCACTAGTTGAGAGTCCTAAACATAGGACATGAAGGAGTTTAAAAAACAAAACAAGCAAACCCATCAAGAACTGGAGAGAGAAAAACACGGAGACATAAATTTTCCCTTTAACTGCAGAGATGCACGAATGGGAAAGAGAGAGCGAGCTCAAAATGCATGCTTTTGGATAGATCATGTTAAGATAATGTCTGTTCTTTTTCCTCAGCAATGTTACCACGGGTGTACAACAAAGCATACCCTGCTATTTGGAATCCAGCAACAACCCCTCAAGGGTTATCACAAATTTAAAACAGGACATGCTTTAGGGCCAAACTACTACTCCACCTTCTAATGCTTCAACATTAGCACTGAAACAAAGATAACACTAAGAAACTAGATGTAGTAAGATACAATAGGGAAGAACCCATATTAGAAGGAGTAAGAAAGAAGTGCCAATAGCTGCAATCAAACAGGACATAGAATGATACTTTGTTAACTGAACACCCTTTATATGATTTAATGCTACATACTGGAGAAAATACCAACTGTATTGGTATGCTAGGATGTTTCAGGATAACCAAATCAATGTGTCCAAAATCACATACAGTGAGAAAGTGTCAAAGATCTTCAGATCACAAGCAAGCAATAAACCAGAAAGAGAACAGACACCAAAAGCGGAAGTGACCATTTAGGCTAAAACTGAAGTCAAAACACTTTTCAAGCAGACAAATATTTAACAACAGAAAGATAAAGGTACAGGCTAAGTCCGTCTTTCCCTTCTCCACAGCTTCCATATTTGTTAAATTGCTCATGCACATTTAAAAAGTCGCTCAATTCTACTTACTCTATGTTCATCGACTGATTTTGCTGCAAGGATCATCCCTTCTAAACATTTAGAGATAATCGGAATAACTTTGCGCTCAGAGTCAGCAAAGCCTTTGTAACATTCACTAAGTTTGATAGTCCTTCTTTCATCCATTTCTTGAAGTTGCTGCAAGCACAAAGTAAGATAAAATAAAGCTTTTATTTGCAGATTTTTTTTAACCCGATCCTGATGTATGCAGTTACCGTGGTCACCACAGTGTAGTACAGAATTTCTGTGCTTTCCCAGTAAATATTTTATTTGCTTAACAAAACAGAACTTAACTAAGTTAAAAAAATCAAGTCCTCTCAGACATAGACTTAAGATGCCCCAAACAGGAATTACGAAGAGTTGATACTCCTTGATTTTTAAAAATTATGTAAAGGACTGGACTTTCTTTCCCTTATTCTTTTTTAAAGCATGTGTACAGTGTCTACCAGCCACCTATTTAGTTTAAAATACTTGTTTCATGCAAAAATGAAAACTACAGTAAAGAAATTCTACTAATTTCTACATCTCCTCACTCTCTCCTTCTAGTTCCAAATAATTTCTCTCTTGTGATAAATATCTCTATCTTGCTTTTATTTTTGTACTTTCCAATAAATACCAACAATTAAAAAAAAAGGAAAAATTAGAAATATTAAAATCATATGCTGTTTAGACATGCTCTCTGATTTGAAATACAAACCATTTCCTTTAGAAGTGTGCAAGAAAATAAAGAAGAGAATACCATTACATAAGATTTGTAATAAAAGTCTACTGGAACACAACAAAAAGAACAAATTAAAGAGAAATACTATTAAGATAATAGCCCTGGATCTCCTACCTAATTGAAGGGGGGG